CCATCATGGGCTCGTCCCCGGTCTGGGACGGGTAGGTCGGCATGGTCTGCGACTTCTGGCGATAGGGGTAATGAGGATGGTTCTGGTCCACTCGGGTGCGTTCCGGTTTCACGAAGCTCCTTCGATTCCTCGAGTCTGTCCCCCAGTCGCCCCTCTCCACATCCGCGTCGCTTCGTCTCCTGGAGCTGCGTGAGCGATGGTGCCGGTGGTGGCGATGTCCCGACGGGGAGCTGTCTTCGTGATCATGGTGGCCTGTCGACTCGCGGGTACGGTGGCGCCTCCGGGAAGATTCGCGATACGAATCAAATGTTTCTTCACGTCGCGGGGAAGCCTTCCCCGGACGCTGAGGTAAGGACATGGCCCTAGTGCCTGAGAGTTTCAATTCAGATTAGTGATTCGTCGCCATCGGTCGCAAAGGCGCAGGTTATTCCTTGAATGTGTGCGAACAGGGTAGAATTTCCGAAATGTTGGTTTTGCGCGTGGTTTGCATGTGAAATGCGGACAGTTGGGGGGAGACATGATAAGATAGCATCAAGGAAAGACCTCACCCACCTTCACCTCAGCATGAACAACCGTTGTGAGGAACGGCCTTTCGCAACAATCTGGTCTGAATTTCGCCTTCTCGTAGGCAGGAGGCACTTCTTGCTGGAAATGCAGACGATGCGCGCGGGGCGGGATACAGCTGCTGGCAGCTCCGTGGTTGGATGCCAGAAAATCCTCCGTGGACAAGCAAGCCAGGAATGAATGTGGAGAAAGAGGGAGAGATTTCAGGACAGAAAGCGAGCGCGGATCCAACAGGCGGAATTTTGCTGCCAAGGAACGAGCGACTGGAGCAGACGAGCGAGATGACCGAGCGAGCGCAATGGATGAAGAGCAAGTGGTGGAAAAGGAAAGGGGAGATGGGTGAAACCACGGCGCTGCGGGCGATAGTGCGGAGTAACCAGCAACTAGCGGTGGTAGTCCCTGTAGGCTAGATCACTAAGAGGCTAGCAGAGGAAATGAGAATACGGGAACCCAAGATTGTTCAACCAAAGGTACCGTCCGTATCCAAATATTGATAATTACGCCGGGTCTCTTTCCCACGTTGCTCCAGAAGATCACGGGGGACCCGTTTCTTATCGTTGCCAAGCCAGTCGAGTCGGGCCCATCCGATCAGCGAAGGAAGGCGAGAAAGAAAGAATGCTGGTGGGGTAGAAAGATGGCAGGCGGCGGTGACAGATGATGGGAGGAATGTAGACTATGAATAATGCCACAAGAAAGAAGAAGGATAAGAATAGGAGGAAATTGATGGTTGAAGGATGACGATGACTGGCCTATGGCATCAAGTGAGATAAATGAGATAAATCCTGCGTACGGAGTACTGTACACAAACAGTCTTCCGGTACATGTGCTGTGCTGCTGCGGGCGGTCGCTAGGGGCAATGGATGGCCTGAGGTGTGTGCCCCGCTCACAAGTTAACTATCAGCCAGACCAGCGAATCTTACCGACCCATGGAAAATTGTTACGAGCATCTGCAGAAAGAGATATAAGTTGAGTATGATGCTGTTGATTAAGAGTCTATCGATCTCACACTCCGAATCCCTTCCCTTCTCAATTCTGATGAGACAATCAGGCAGAGACTGGTAGAGAGAATGGAGAAGCATGCAGTCCAAGCTGAGGTATCCAAGGTCGAGAGCAAGACCCTGGCTTGATTGGGTTTTGTGCTCCGGCCGGACTGACCACCGGGCTTAATCGAGCTTAGTGGGTTTCACACCTGGCACATGAATCTCCGCCCCCTCGTTAGATAATCAGCTCATCAATTCATTCAATTGCGCTACAATTACTAGTGCAGTGGCTCCGTAAACGACCATTTCTTGATCAGCCAGTACAACCAGCAGCACTGACTCTACCAGTAATTCTCAGTTGATTCCCTCTCAAGACTATCTTCAAGCGCTAGTGTCAACCGTGTCAACATCGGTCAACCTGCAGATCTTACGGTCGGTCGATGACACATTGTCTCAGAATGTACATACTTAGTACTCCGTACAAACAGTACGTACTGTACATAACTACCCGAACCCATACACATGCACCGTTCTATTTTTGAGGGCGAATCGGGTGGACTCGTCGCCACACCCTACCCGCAGGGTCCAGTGACTCTCAGGTTTTTTTCTCGGCTCCGTTTCTTCGGTTGACTCCATCGATGAACGTCTTGCTGGTTAAAAATGGTCTCATCGTACCTGGTTACACCTGATAGGTCATACTCTGTCGCTCACCGTTTGCTCCGCCCGATGGGAGGCAAAGTGGTTGCCTGGCTCGATAGACCGAGAGCAACGAGCCTGTTGTCCGTGGGTGGCCTGTGCGTGGAGTGGTAATTTTACCGATGGCTTCTCGTTGGGCTGACAGTCAGCTTGAGCATAAGAGGTCTCAAATTAAGGGGGAGAAGGGCAAAGAAATATCAAGCTAATGAACACTAGGAGGAGGAATTTACTCTGAGGGGTCTTGTTCATTGTCTACAAGCCAACAGTCAGTGCTAGTGTGGATCCATCAACTTATACTTCCTCGCAACCCAGTCTCGAAGGCTAGGCCCCGACCCCCGGCCGAACCAATTCGTCTGCTGCAAGTGTGATGGGTCACCTAAGCATCGCATCTGATGGACCCTGATCTTCGACGACAGGCCTGCATGTCGGCGTTCGGCCCTGTGCTGGGATAAAGCACCCGGCAAACCGACCAACGCGCATCGAGAGTGGTTATCAGCTGTTATCTGGACTCGACCCTATAGCCCTTTCAGTTATGATGTCAACTTGACAGTCATCCTTAAATCGACGACCCTCCCACCAGTAACTGGTTACTGCCCGACAACCTGTGCGGATTGTCGTCTAGAAACCACAGCAGACTGACTTTTTCTTGGCTTTTACTGCGCCGTTGGTACCCTTCTGCTACTCTGCTCGTCGGGGTTTGCTACACCGCTTCGTGTGCACCGCAAACGGAAGCTTTCTTCGACAGCGTGAATATGCCTTGGGACTGTCTCCTATGGCTTCAGGGCGAACTGTGCCCCACCGCCTCGATGAATACGCCCAATGCGCCATTGTCGAAGGGTTACAAGCATTGCATGAGTACACACTTAAATTGTGTTGTTGAAGAGTCGGTCCATCGCGTCGGCATCGTCAACTTGGGCGAGTCGACCGATCAGCTAGCGATACGAGATGCGCGGAAGTATAACATTCAATAGCTATGTGTTGCCGCTGATGAAATCGTGATTACTCCGATCACCCCGGGTAACCTGCAACCTACCCAGGAACAGGTCCTTCAGTTGTCATGAGCTAATCAGCTAGATTTACATACGTCCTGGCCGATGACACACATGTAGTCACTCTGCGGCGGAAGCCACCCGAAGAGCAGGTTCGACAACCTTCGTCGTTTCACGGAAATGGTGCTCAGGAGCAACCCAATAGGATTTGTCGTCGCGATCAAATCTGGAAGCAGCCGGCAAGCGGGAGAGTCGCTACAGAGGTACTGGATCACGGTCAAGCCGACAGGATCGTCAGGGCTTTGTGTCCCGGCTGACTATACCCGTCGCGAATAATGACTGTTAGCGATAGTGTGGCCGCCGTAGTCTAGCGCTGAGCTGCAGTAGTCATTTCCGAGTGGCATCTCATGACCCCGCGGTTGAACAGGCTAAAAGAGTTGTCCAAGTCAATGCGATGCGAATCAGGCTCGATGGAAGGCTAGAAGCGCCTGCGCGATGTTCATCCGAGGATCCTTTGCAATCGCGATGCCCCGTGGGGAAAAGGAAGCGGTTATTGGCACTCTTGGCAGGAATGCAATGATAGGCTGTAGTCCAATGGACCTAATATCGACCATTTTACGAGGTATTTATAGTTGCTGACGTGGTGGGTTTTTTGACGCCGCGAACTGCTCGGCAGGTGCTAGAATCTCGTTTGGAAGTCAGAGTCATGGCGACAACAGCATCGGTTTGTCTGCTAAGCAGCCATCTCATTCGCCTGTAGGCATGGATGAACAGCAACAAAAGGGCACCGGTGACGCGGCTTGAATCATCAGCGTTCAATCTCGGTTGAACTGCAGCGAGACCAGATATTAAATGGGAATACCCCGGATAGGGAGAGGGGGGACGGAAGCCTGGAGTGAAAGAGTGAAACATACACAGTACCTTGGCAGTGCGTGCAGCAGCAGCAGCAGCAGCAGCTCGTAATGTTCCCAACGCCTCTCCGGCGCTATTTTTAATCCGAGCCACTAAAGCCACTGACGAACTACTGACTAACCTTAGAGGGGCTTAGTAGCTGAGCTTACTAGTAAGTTTTGAGGGGCCACCGGCACCAAAAAGAGTCAAAAGACAAAAAAGAAACCACTGTGTTTTGTACTGTTCTGTTACTATGAGTACATACTGTGAATACAGAATGACTGCCAACTGACTAGTCTAGTCTCTCTCTTCTGTGGTCCGTCCGTCCCTTCTCGCCATTTCCTCTCTTTTTCTCATCACCGCACCACAACTCTTTCTTCCCCGCCTCTCTCTCTCTCTCTCTTTTCCCTTCTAGCGGTGTCACTGTCGTTTGTGTCTCCCCCCAAGTCCCTGACTCTCGTTGGCCCTTAGCGAATCTCCTCTCGTTTTTGTTTCAGGCGGAATGAACTCTCGGAAGTACCGATCATCACCACGGTTCCTTCAACAGATTTGACTAGGTAAGCCTGTCTATCCTACCCGGTGGACCCCCCGATTTTCGTCCTCTCATTGACCCATCGTCTCCAGATTCTCCACATCCTCCCAGTCCCTGTTCGCCTGATAACCGGTGCACATCCCATCTCTCGTTGACGTTGTCCTTGCATCCCATCAGTCGCTCCAGAATATTACCCTCGACTTTCTTAACCTGCTCCATGGCTGCCTACATGTCCAACGTCTAGACTCTGCCAGTCTGCCACGCTTAGATCCTGCAATCCAGCTCAACAAGTTGCAGAATTCAACTCGGAGGATTACGTATACCCCCGATTAGTGAGGAGTTGCTCCAATGGCGAGCACGGAGGCCAGTAGGTATTCTCAGCCGCTGCCTTCCCCTCCTCCGGTCTATCTCCGTTCATCCCCGCCCTTTCTCTCGTCGCGTCACGAAACTCCCCGACGTCCCAGCTCGCATCATCAGTTGAAAATGGTTTCCACGCGCGAACAATCGCCCCCGTCTCGATCGCTAGCGACCGATGGAGAGACACATCAGCCTGTGCAAGTTCCGAGAGTGCGGATCCATGGCGAGGTAGACCAGCCGGTTCAGAATTTCCACGACGACGAATATGCTTTGTCACTTACGGGCGCTGCCTTTTCCGACTTGGCACTTGCAGAAAAATCCCCGACGCACGGGAAGGATACCGACGATGCACCTCCACGTGAGGGAGAACTATATCAGGCTCCGCGGCCGTTAGTCTACGGCCACACGCCCAGGAGCAGTGGCTCGTGGTCTGTGGTCGACCCCAACTCCCGAGAACAACCCGACAGCCTTGCAACTACCAGCTCCTCATCCGTCGACCAAGCGGCTCCGAAAGAGAATGAGCATGTGTCGCCCCGGGAAAGTCTGGATAGCAGCGCAGAGACGCCCGAGGTCTACGAGCCCTTGCACTATCACCACCGTCCCTATGAGGTCCCTTCACAGTCCTCGGCCACTGGATCCGGGGAGAACGTCTCGGGCACGAACGGCTATTTGAGCGCCAGGCCCCGACCGCGGTCGACGTACTCCTTCACGTCCAGCGTCGGCGAAGGACGCCATCGGTCCCCTCACCTATCCCCATACCTTCAGGGCCGATCATCCTCAAGAGAGTCTGTTGCATCACCCGACATTCGGCCACTGTCTTTTGTCGATCAGCTCAACAGCCACTACCCGCAACCTGGTCCGGCCCCCGTACAGTTCGGGAACTCCCAGCTGCAATCAGCAATCGGCAACAATGCTTCGCTGCTGAGCCACAAGCAAACGTTCGACATGTACCTGGCCAATGTCAAGAAAACGGACGATCCGGCCGTCCAGTATGAGTTTGCCCTGTTCATGGTCAATGCCGCGCTGGACATGCCACCGGATGGGCTTGGAGGCGATGCATCTGCCGTGTACGGACGTAAAGCTGCAGAGATCACTCGGGGTGGATTGCTGAAAGAAGCGAAGTCGATCCTCCAGCGGCTTTCTGATCGTAGCTACCCATTTGCGCAATACTACATCGCGGACGGATACGCGTCAGGATTGTTCAGCAAGGGCAAGGAGGATTATGACCGAGCATTCCCGCTGTTTGTGGCCGCCAGCAAACACGGACACGTCGAGGCATGCTATCGGGCGGCCCTGTGTTTTGAGTTTGGCTGGGGAACTCGGGTGGAGGCTGCCCGGGCGCAACAGTTCTATCGGCAAGCAGCCTCTAAGAACCATCCGGGTGCTATGCTTCGAATGTCCAAGGCATGTCTTGCGGGCGACATGGGTCTCGGCAAACGGTACCGCGAGGGGATCAAGTGGTTGAAGCGTGCGGCCGAGTCCGCGGACGAGCAGTACAATTCCGGTCCGTATGAGCTCGGATTGCTGCATGAAACAGGCTACGGCGACGACGTGTTTCTGGATCCGTCGTACGCCGCGCAACTGTTCACCAAGTCGGCGGACCTGGGGCATGTGGAGGCCAGCTATCGCCTGGGAGATGCATACGAGCACGGCAGGTTGGATTGTCCGCGCGACCCGGCTTTGTCGATTCATTTCTACACGGGTGCGGCACAGGGGGGCCATCCTTTGGCCATGATGGCTCTTTGTGCTTGGTATCTGATTGGAGCTGAGCCTGTCCTCGAGAAGGACGAGGAGGAGGCGTACGAATGGGCCAAACGTGCTGCCGAATCCGGTAAGTCGATTCGCTTTGGAGTGGTTTGTTCCGATGCTGACCCTTTATGTTTGACAGGCCTGGTGAAAGCTCAATATGCCATTGGGTATTTTACGGAGACGGGCATTGGCTGTCGACGCGACCCGCTGCAAGCCAATGTATGGTACGTCAAGGCGGCCGAGCAAGGCGATGAGCGGGCGAAGAACCGGCTAGCGACTATTCGAGCGGCGGCCGATGGGGTTGCACCAGGGCAAGGGGCTGCGGATGCGGGGAAGGGCAAGAAGTCGAGTGGGAAGACCGGTAAGTAGTTTGGTGGTTTGATGTTCGAATGAAGTGAGACTGATCGGGATATAGAGGGTAAATCGAAACGCTTCAGCATTTTTTGATTGTGCGTGCGCGAGATGTCTGGCGACTTCTACAGTCCTTCCACCACATGCGTGACCATTTAGCCCAGTTTTTGTTTCTTGATTCTTGGTTACATTTTTTTATACCAGAGGGAATTGGCATTCTACATAGCACAGCAGCACAGCACTTGCACTGACTTTTGGACACACTTGACCAATCATGAGCTTGTATATTTGGGATGAGTTTTGGTGTATGTATGCATAGTCGGGTTCCACATTTGTACCAGCATGAGCTTTTGTGTGTTGAGTCCGGCAGTTGATCTGTGGGGTTCGAGATATACGGCGAATTGACTCTTCACATGCACCGGCGAGTTGATTCTTTGTGGGCGGATGGTAACATGGAAGTAGCGGGGACATTGACTCAGTACACAGAGCATCTGACCGACTAAAGATAGTGAGTGGCATGGGAGTACTCCGTAGTAGGGAGCTTCATACACTATACACGGGGCATCTGCCTCCTGAATAGTAGCACGATGATCTGTTCGCTTGGGTAACCATTGCGATCGACAGGTGAACTTACTGTCTGGTGGATAGGAGAGAGCCAAGCGACCGTACTCCACCTACGGCACTAATAGCATGATGTATCTTATGAAGTTGAAATAGATTGAGATGAGATCAAGCCTCAACCGAATGTCAGGATAATGACGATATGATATATGATGTAGGTACTGCGTACATGTCAGGGGATAGATAATGCTTCAGCCCCTTGAAACCAAAACACGCTGCTGCTCAGTAATCAACGAGTACAGTACCTACTCATACGTGCAATGTTCAACCGGACACTCAGCCATCCTGCAGCACCGTTTCGTCGCTAGTGTACCCGCCAAGCGCAGCAAGCAGGGAAACTATTGGGCTTTGGACATGACGATCTCACTCTGAGTGTCTGATGGAGAACGAAAGTAACGAAGTTTGGAGTCGGTCGTCGGGGTGGGGGAGGTTGCCTGTCACTCGCGGTGCCCGAGTTGCCCTGCTTTAAGGGAAACTGGAATACGGAATACTCGAGTAAGACTGGAGGCAGGAAACACTGCCAGTCGCCCCTCTTTCCCGCCCCCTCCTCTTCATTCTGGGCTCCTCCCCTGCCGATCCACACCTTCCCTCCGCAGGGATTCCCGCGCCGATCCCGCCGATTACTGTTTCACGGGTTTGCTGCTGCTGCTGCTGCTGCTGCTGCTGCTGTTGTCGTTGTGAGTAGCTAACCTCTAAGTTACCGGCTACTTTCCCAACACCTACAGCACTACAATTCCCACGGATTCAGTGTGTAATGTGAAGAGTATTTCCAAAAATAAATCCAATCCCTCCACAACAAAAAAAAGTAACCCGACCGGAAACTTCCCACACGTCCTAAATAAAAAGCCAAGGCCACTCCACCTACTCCTCAAACAGGAGGGAAGGGATCTACGGGCAGACACACCTTCATAAGAACGTTAGGTTTTCCTCCGGAGGGGCGCGTCATTGTGTTTTATCCCTATCTGAACCTAGATCAGTCGCATTTTTCCCGTTCTCGATTTCATTTCCATCTCTCCTTTCCACATTCTTTGTTACGGTTTGACCTTCCCACGTTTTTGTTATCCCCATACCGGCGGGAAGTGATCATCGACGGTTGACTATTGACTATTGATTGATAGCATTGGTATGTGCCAGGAACTTTGTTTGCACTTTCATCCTCATGGTTGGGGTTCGGTGGTTGGCGTCGAAGATTTTGCTTGGATTACGGGTTAGGGGCACTGGGTGTAGTGCGTGCTTGCTAACTAAACTCTTGCTCTCTTGCAGATTCCATTTCCATACCTCACCCATCCGAACCGAAGCTTCCAGACTTTATCACAATTCAATAACAAAATGCGTTTCCTCGCTGTCGTCGCCCTCCTCGCCTCGTTGACGGCCGCCCGTCCCGCGGAGAATGGGATGTTCAATATCGAGCTCTCGTGCATTGGGGTGCGTTTCTTCTTCTTTGGCTTGTTGCTACTGCTTTGCTTTTTTCTGTGGTGGAATGGGGGGGAAGGGGAAGGAAGGGGGCTTGGGGTTGGGGTTGTACCTCATTCTATACCCGGGGTCCGATTGAGAGAATGGGTTCTGGGTACTGGATGAGATCTATCCGGATGGGCTTTCTCTGGAGGTCAAGACCATCCGCCCCAGCCTGATTCTCTCACGGAGGCCTTCCAGCTTCATTGTGATGCGAATCCCCGCCCTCCCCTGCTTGTCCACAATGCTCGTAAGAATTGTATGGAGGATGTACTGACATGAGCCGCAGCTGAACGACAGAGCGTGCGTTGCTAACGCGACGAGCGGCATGGGATGCTGCGTTCCCTTGTATTGCGGGGCTGATCATGTGAGTTGTCTTTCGGTGGTTCGGGAATTGCTGGGTAGAGACTGACGGAGTTGTAGCGGTGCCACCGTCCTTGATCTGGGGAGTCGTGGTTGTCGAGACGCAGTTCGTGGCTGAGGGTGGGGAAATGGGCTGGTTGCTGGGTTATTCGGTCGTGGGCCATGGATCGTGCGAAAGGAGGTTGCAGTCCATGGTGTTTGGGATGAAGAATGGACCTGAGATTTGCCTGCTGCTGGGGCAATAATTGTGGAGGTTTGAGGACTATGGACATGCGGATGGGTAATGGATGGAACTGTGGGGATTCAACAGCAGACTAAGGAGTGGAACTAATCATGCTTGCGAGATGAGGTTCGCGGAGCGCTCAATTAATTAGGGGTCGTCGATTCTCATGCTTATCTATGCGTTGTTCGGTTTGTAGTTGTAGGCTTTTGGAGAGATTTCAATGCTGTGTTTTGAGGATCCTTTGGTGACTTCTCTCCTCTTCACAGAGCAGGGAGACCCTCGTCTGAAGGAGGTTGGGTGATATCTGCCTTCGTTCAGGTTGAGGAATAGCTTGTGCTGGGTTGAACTCAGCTCCACAGCGTGCGTTAGACAATTATTGACCCCATATGAGTTTTGTTATTTGTAGGTCTGTCAAATCTCGATCTTTTTTGCAGAAATTCCTTCTAGTTTCATATCCTGAGTCCCCTTCCTGCATTGTCAAGTGGAGAAGTAGGGAGTGCTACTGATAGTCATAGGGCTACCGTGCTGCTTGCCAGCACGAGGTATAGATAAGGGTAGATCCGATATTCAGCACAGATCCCCCAAATCTATACATACATATACCACAGCATACCTGATAAGTGACCCCCTCCCTCAAGCGAATCTTTAGCTGATCGATCATACCCACCTGATTATACGCATATCTATCAATAGAAGATCTAACCTCAATTCGATGTCGACAAGAATGAAGCAACTCGACGATAATATAAAGCGATGAATTAAATCCCTAACCTCCAACACCCACGCAAACATACACATAAGAATATACAATAAAGCGAAACCATAAGCATAACCATCATGCCTTCCCCCAGTCCAATCTCAGGACCTGAATCATCTAATCCGTCGGAGGCCGGTACGAACCCCCCGTGAACCTATCGACAACCGTACGATTAGCTCAGCCATCAACTACACCTTCAAGGGACCGAAAGAAAACATACCGACTCCACAACAACCCAAACAGCCCCTGCGACGAGTCGGCGGTGCTGCGCTTCGCCCACCCGGAGTCGACATTGTAGCGCTTCGTGTCCTGCAGCCCCGCGAAGAGGCCTCGGCCTGCTGTTGCGTGCTGCACGCCCATCGCTTGTCAGTATTCCGTTCAGGGTGGGGGTTTTTGAGGGTCTGGGTTTGGGGGATGAAAGGGCGGACAAAACGAACATGTTTAGGCCGATCCTTGACCCAGAGATCGGCGCCGAAGTCGTTCTGCAGGCGGGATTTGGAGGTTGTGGTGGTTGTGTTCGTCATTTTGAGTTGGCTGGTTCTTTGCTTCTTTAGGAAGTGTGTGGGATGTAGTGATTGATCGTCTGAAGAAGGTAATGTATAGAATGTAGTGGTTGGTGATTCTTGATTGGATGTAGAGTATACTTGGGGTGTTGACTTGAATCCAACTCCCGAATGCTTTGCTATGCTTTGCTTGATGCTGAGGGGGGAGGGGACTCGGGATCTGGTTCAATGGTTATATACTACTGTCTCGGGTTGGGTCTACTATTCTACTCTACTCTGTGGTATACTTTTGATATCGTCTCATCCGGTGGAAAGCGAAAGCGCAACCCGGATGGTGCAGTTCCCGTGGGACTGGGCTTGAGATACGAGTGTAGTATGAGGGTGGTTCGATTTTTGGGCCATGTTGTCGAGGTGAGCGGTTGGAAGGAGCAGGTCGGAGGTTCTGTTCCGGGTGAGGTCACCTTATGGACCTTATGGATGTTTCCCAGGTTGAACCGGTAAGGAGCCGGTTGGGGCTGGTGAGGTTTGTCCGGGGTAGGAATCGTGGACTGCCAGGTATCACGAGGCTGAGAATGCGTGGGTGCACGAATGTATGGGATGTCGGGTTGACATGGGTGGATTGCACCAATGGGGTGCGTGGGATTGGTGAGATTGGTTTGGTTTGCTGAAGCCTACTCGTGGCGGTGGCTGGATTGGCTATGCGGTGTGCATGGGCACCGTATGCTCGGTCCATGTGGTTGTTGTGGTTGTGGTTGTGGTCGATGTGGGTATGGCATGATCGGAATGGTGAGATGTGGTGGTGATGGGACGGTCTGGCTGGGGTCGTACGATGGGGTCCCGGGAGTTTGGGTCGGCGGTTTTCTGTGCTTCCTAGGTCACTTGAGGGTAGGAAATATATATTTTGAAGGTTTGGGGTTTTTTTCCTCTCCACTGAGCACTCCGTAGACCGGAAGTGTTTATTGTGCTGAGGTGGTAGTTGCGATGGCGATGGCGGTGGTGGTGTTGAGTCAGGCCATGTTTGTTGCTGGCGATCAGGTCACTGGCCAACCACTGGGCGGTAATCACAATGTCTACTCCAGCAGATTTATAGCCTAGCTACCTAGGTACTCATATTTGAGTAGTTCTGCTATATAAGGTACAGTATGACTGCGACTGCGACTTCATTCTTGTTGACTCCGTGCACTTAAAGCACGCAGACCTATGGCCTCAGGCACCAGCATCAGCATCCGCTCCGCCAGCCGGTGAGAATCTTCCAGAATCCAATCCCCGTCAGCACTACGGAGCGGAGTACTCTGCGCCCCAATCTGCTGCGCCCCAACCGAAAATTCTCTGAATAGCACTGGCGGTGCGCATGACAGTCACGCCCCCAGGATCCCTCTCGCATCCTTTATAACTTGCCTCTCACTGAATCAGGGGTAACCCACGTAGACTTGGCTGCCACCGTGTCTCACACCCAACCCGAACTATTGATTTCGCGTATTGGCGAATCCGTTCAACTTCGCTCTTCTGCCAGCAACAGACTCAAGCCAAGCTCAATCAGGGGCACCTCGGTCCGCAGTGGAGGACCAGCACTGACTCGGTCCAGACCGGGCTGACGGGTGTTGATCAAAAGAAGGAAATGAGCAGTGATCGTCGACATCCTCGACAAAAGAAAAAAAAAAAAGGTGGTAAAAAACTCGAGAGCATGTCGAGGGTTCTTGTACCTCGAACTGCTGGTATACTACGTATATGCTAGGTGGCAATCCCTGAGGCGGAGGCGGAGGCTGAGCTGAGGGACCGATCAGATGCAATTCCATTCTCCGGATCGTCTGGGGTAGACTAAAGCCCCTTCCCCTAAGACCCTAGGAACGAAGGGCACGAGGAGGCGACTCTGACACACCACACTCCCTCTTTCGCCGCCGTGGCTTCGGTTGTTCGGCTGCTGCTGGGTAACCTCCAGCTGTCACCGTTGCGATGGGCTGCAGCAGTCTACTCCACCAGTGCGAAATCAACATGGTCCTCGAAGCCGAGGGAGGGCCAGAAGGTGGTGATGGGGATCGGCATTGTGTTTAAGCTGCCCTGCACGCTAGATTCACCTGCCGGAGCACCGATCACCATGAGTGTTGACTCTATTGACAATTATTGGCTGTGTGTTGGAGCAAAGTTATACCTCAGTAAAATTTTCAGGGGGCGAGCGGCTTGGAGTCCAGGATTTCGAATTAACTCGAGATGATATATCCTTCCCGTATACCAAGTCTCTAGGCAAACGCCATGAATGTAGCCGAGCGGATGGGATGAAATCTATCACTACGGTGTTGAAGGTGCTGTGTTGCTTTGCTGTGTTGTGTTGCTATTTCCAGGCACCTGGCATAGTGTCTTTGCCTCTTTTCTGGGCCAGCGGTTTCATCCAGTCTTGGAGGCCCAAATGAAAACCTCCTGAAATCTCACGGCCCCTCTTAGGCTGACTGTCCATCGCATTCATTGGCCTGTTGGGTGGAGGGCCGGAAATTAAGCAGTTGATGCATCCAATGGCTGGCTCCAGGGCTGAGGGAAAGAGCCCCGCCAAATTGCCCGATCGAGGAAAGCGTCATCAGCAAAAGTTTCCTGTTCCTTGCAGCCCGCGAAAACACACCAACTCATTATTCATGGTTGAGATGTGATCCATCACTACTGTGGTATAGCACTGATAGGAGACTTGAAGGTCGAATCAGATAGTACAGTAAGTTACATACCATCAGATACTATCAGGGCAGCTAAGTTGATTCTCTCAACTCTATTCTTCGATAGCATCAGTGATCTTCCTGGAGTTGTTCCAGCCGGGGTCATTTACTGCGCTGTTTTGTTGTTCATAGAAAATGGGTGTTGGTGTAGTTCGGTTTAGAGTTTTCTTACTGTTCCACTTGAGCAGTCAACTATTGTATGGACCTACACTGTATACCAGTCAGTACCTTAATAGATAGACTGTTTGCTTCAACCTCCAAGCACTGCAGCTACTAGCGAAGTCGTATAGCAGTCCCAAACAGTCCTGCACCATGCATACACAGGAGGTTGGCCGAGAGAGTCCCATAATAACCAACTTCGCAACCCTTCTAGATCCCTAATTGTGTACAGGACCTATTTATGCTTGCCCCCACATCTTATCCCCCCCCTAACCCTTCCCCTCCATCCGAGTCTATCGTGAAACCCGCCACCAATCGTGGTCCGGCAGTGCCTGGCAGCCCTGAAAGAAGTTACACACACCGCCCCCCTTTTGTGAATCTTGGTGGATTTGTCTTGCTCACTTGCTATCCTCTTTCCTCTTTCTGTCATTTCAGTTCTTGTCCACATTTGGGGCCGTTTTGGCCCAGAACCTGCATCGGTTAGTGCCAATCACCAGCCATCCCGTCTGTCTCCAGGGGCGCCACCATCGATTTTGCTTTCTTTTCTACCGCCCCATCGCCCGTTCATCTTCTTACTTCTTCCCTCTTTTCTCCCTCTTCTTTCCCTTCTTCTTCCTCTTCCTCCTCCTCTCACCTGTTCTCTCCTTCATCCCTCGAGCGTGTCTCGAATTGTTTTCCTTTCCCAAGGGTCGGACCTGACAATATACTAGAGGCCAACGTGCTTCCAGTTCTCTCCTTCCCTACCCACATTCATTGACCACCGCTTCACTCTTTCAGCGGGCCCTCATTGCGATTACCGGATTCGGAACATCACCAAAATCACCTCATCAACCATTTCATCCTCGCAAAATGAAGGGTGCTTTCCTTGCTACCGCGGCCGCCGCCCTCGTCGGTACGGCTCTGGCTGACGGCGCTCACCGTCGCCATGCCCACGAGCCCTTCCACCAGCGTCGTGCCGTGCAGGCCGGTGCTTCCTCCGCCTCCGAGGAGACCTGCGGCTGTACCACCGAGGTCGTCACCGTCTGGGGAACTCCTACCCGTGAGTTTCTGCCTCTTGCTCTGGTGAAGTGAGTCATCTAACCTCTTCCAGTTGTGCCCGTCTCTACTGCCACCGAGACCGTCGTCTCCGAGGTCGTCACCACCCTCCACTCCACCAGCTACACCACTGTGACTGTCGTTGCTACTCCTGGTGAGTCGGCAGCTACCGTCCCCGCTGGAGGCTCCCCCGGTGAGGCTTCTACCACCACCCCCGAGGGTGTTGAGGCCACTGGCGTGACTGGCGCTACCGGTGCTACCGGCGTTCCTGCCGTTGAGACCACCTCGACCCCCGCTGCTGTTGTTGAGACTACCTCGGCCGCCGCTGCTGTTGAGACCACCTCGACTCCCGCCGCTGCCGTTCCCACCTCCAGCGCCGTGGTGCTGCCCACTCCTGATGTCACCACCTTCGCCTCGACTGGTGTCTACACCATCCCTGCGTCCACTGTGACTGTCAGCGAAACCACCGAGGTTGTCACTCCTGCCGTCACCACTCTGGCTAGCGGCACTCACACCATCGGTGGTGTAACCACCGTTGTCGAGACCTCGACCACCATCGTCTGCCCCTATGCCACCGTCAAGCCCTCGGGCACCACCGTCACCAGCGTCATTGAGCACACCACCTACTACTGCCCCGCCGCTGGTACCTACACCATCGCCCCCACCACCACCTATGTCCCCTCCAGCGCTGTCGTGACCTACCCCGCCGTGTCCACCGTCACCCCTGGCGTCTACTCCCACACCGCCGAGGTCGTCACCGTCACCGTCACTGACTACACCTACACTTGCCCCTTCAGCGGCTCCACCAGCTCTGCTGCTGTTGCCGTGACCACCCCCTCCGCTGCCGCTGCTACCACCACGGTCGTCCCTGCCACCACTGCCGCCCCCGCTACCTCCAGCAGCGTCAAGGCCAGCACTGTCTCCAGCGCTGCTGCCAGCTCTTCCAGCGCCGCCGCCACTGGTGTCAGCGCTACCGGCCTGATGGGTATGACCTACACCCCTTACACCAACGACAACGGCTGCAAGTCCACTGCCACCATGACTTCGGACATCAAGACCATCGCCGGCAAGGGCTTCACCCACATCCGTCTCTACTCCACGGACTGCAACACCCTCGAGGTCATTGGCGAGCTTGCTGAGGAGCTCGGTCTCAAGCTGATCCTCGGTATCTACATCTCCAGCACCGGTACCTCGGGTGCTGAGAGCCAGGTCACCGCCATCACCGAGTGGGGTAAGTGGGAGCTGGTCAGCCTGATCGTGGCCGGTAACGAGGCCGTCTCCTCCGGATACACCGATGCCAGCTCGCTTGCCAGCTTCATCACCTCCTGCAAGAGCACCTTCGCCGCCGCCGGCTACACTGGCCAGGTCACCACCACCGAGCCCGTCGACATCTGGCAGGAGTACGGCGCCAGCTACCTGTGCGACGCCGTGGACATCCTTGGTGCCAACATCCACCCCTTCTTCAACGCCGACACCACCGCCGAGGAGGCCGGTACCTTTGCCAGCTCTGAGTTCGCTCTCCTGAAGACGATCTGCTCTGGCTTGAGCATCATCAACCTGGAGACCGGCTGGCCGAGCCAGGGTAACGCCAACGGTGCGGCCGTCCCCGGTGCCTCCGAGCAGGCTACTGCCATCAAGGCCATCCGTGAGGCCGTCGGTGGCGACTCCGTCTTCTTCTCGTACGCCAACGACCTGTGGAAGAGCCCTGGCGAGTTCGACGTCGAGCAGTACTGGGGTTGCATTGACCAGTTCTAAGCATCTGGAGCTGGATCTGTACAGTTAAAGGCCATGTGTTGATTTGATTTGGCTTGGAGTTTTATTTCCTTTTCTCGTGGGTCCATCGTTGCGGGTGCAGCATGACATACGATCGGACTGTCAACCTTTTTCCCTTCTTCGTACACTTGGACCAATTTGTAGTAGATATCATTTTCTTTCTGACCGACTTCTGATCAATGTGTCTACTCACCGGGTGCATCCGCCTTTCTTCCATTTCAGAGTTGTATATGCTAATTTCATTACGGATTCACGATGAAGTCTGTCGGACAACGTTGGTAGAGATTTGTTGTAGTGGTAGACATGGTGACGTGAAGTAATTCGACGATTGGGCCCTTGGTAGCTTGGACGGGGGCTCGCTTTTGTGGGTTGTGTGGTGTGGTCATTGTGCAGCGGGATGACATTTTCAGGTCAAGGTGCATGGATCGGTTCCACCGAGAACCCACGCTGAATTTCTGGGTGGAGGTATGCAAGGGACTCGATGAATGATCAGTGATCAATGCTTGTGAGGGAATTGTGCATCCAAGCTGATGTTGCGGTCAAAGACAGCCTGCTGACTAACGCGGAATCCTGCCCAGCACGACATCAGGACAAAAGTACGTACAGCAACTGAGAGTACGTGTTGGGTTATGGGGGGCAAGCACTACTAGTCATTAGGCGAATTCGGAAAAAGGGAAACAACCAAACAGAAGAAAGAAAGGAATCCTTCCATAAATAATGTTCAATAAAGGCAGTATCATCTGCAGTTGATGAGATTTAGCCGACGATCCTTCGTTCCTACTATGAGTGAAGTGAGTACTGTGAAAGTGGCAGAGAAACCAAACCCCCACCCTCCACCATGTGACAGGCCCGATGCACGTTCTCTTTCCATCGGTTCCCCTCATTCAGTATCATTCAGTCCACTTACCTCTTACCAACTTGGTCTTCCTGCACCCTCCACTACTTCCTCTTCCCTTCTTCCCCTTTCATTGCATTTGCCCACTTTGCAAATGGAATAACATTCAAAGTTTCCCCGTTCCCCTCCGATCCTTTTCTTTGCTTTTTCTTGCTTTTTCTTGCACCTCTGGGCTGCCTGTTTCGCTTGAAGTCTTTCCCCCCCCGGTCGCTTGCGTGTAGCCGGGGTTGTGCGTCGCCATTCATCCTTCAACCCACCGCGTGTGCTTGAAGTGGCGTATCACCTGTCAACAATTTAAACTGCAGCATTGCCCCTCCTGATCGGGCCTGTTTGCTGTTTCTTGCGCCTGTCAACTTGACTCATCTCTGCTAGATCTAGGCAAAAGAGGCGCGTCTGTCTCAGTTCGCCTACCCGCTCTCCGGCTTTGACTCGCATCGCCCTCACTGATCGTGACCGTGTCCGTCCCCTCCGTGTGGGGGAGGAGGGAGTTGTGCTGCGGGGTGAACAACCCAAACCGGCTGCAGAGCCAAGATCCCTCCCCGGGTGTGATTGCGATCGCAAAATAGAAAAAGAAAGACAACGTGGACGAGGCATCCCTCGACCTGGTCCGGTTGTACCACCCACCTCAGTGCCAATCAGCAACTTGCTGTGCCGTTTCGGCTGCTTATCAGCCAGTTCGCTCGCCACCAGTTGGTCCAGTTGGTCGCCCGAAAAGTGAGCGGTCGCCAGTCCCGTCGCCAACCGAATCGCTGCATCTGACGACCGGAATGCCTGGTCAGGTTGGGCCCGACTCTCCTCCTTCGGTCTCGTCCAGCTCGTCCGTCCGTGCAGCTGGTTCCTACTCTAACACTTCACCACGCAATGTCTCCCGATTCTCGTCGCAATATCTCAGCTTGTCACCACCCGTTGCCCGTGAAGACATGATGCCGCCGCCACCGGGTGAGGGTCATCCGCCGGGCGCATCCGCAGACGTGCCCGATCCAGCACTGCCCACAGCCGTCGCAGCCGTCGCAGCCCCCGAGCCTGGTTTCGACATGAGCGATCCACGCTTGTCAGCCTTTATGGCCGTTCCGCAATATCCCAATGCCCCGAGCGACGCTGCCCCTGTCGCGGTGACGGAGATCGTCAACGCTGTGATGGAGCGGCCAGAATTCGCCCACTACGGTCACGGTCGTGTAGCCGACCAAGCGACGCCCCGCCTCGCCTCATCCTCTCCCCCGGGAGAGTGGTATGTCTCCGACTCGGAGATGACCGATGCGCTTTCGGACGTTGGTGGCGTACCGCTGGGGCCATACATGGGCGATTATGACGATACCCCCGGCGCAGAGTATGCGCATGATACAGCCTCGACGATCTCCGAATTCACCGATGACGATGAAACGACCGACCTGATCATGGATTACGAACCTTCAATCGCGGCGGAACGACTCCCCGCCCTGTCTGGGTTGGATGATGACCCCGATGACACCTACAAATTCTACATGGACGACGGCGATGAGGAATCCGATTTCGAGGATGCTGAGGCGCGGATCCGTCGCAGCACGGCCGCTTTGTCGGAAGTGGACTATGATGGGTTCTATCAAGGATTGAACGCCGGCTACGCCCCGCAATCTTCAGATATTTTTCCCGGCGCTGCTCACGACGACTTCAATGCTTCATTCTCCGAGGGTGATGACTCGAGCGGTGTCGAAGCGCCGAATGAGCAGCATGTCGCGGACCCGCCCACCGGGATGGGTAAGTTTCTCCTTGTCCTGCGTCCTATGTATGGATTCTAAACAGCCCCCACAGTGAAAGAACGGAACTTGACCATCGACCAATTCATCGGACAATGGCTCTGTCAGTCTAACACCGCTTCAATCACGGGGTTTACAATGGGCCCCGCCCCTCTGGCACGCAGTGCGGTCGCTAGTCTGCTTTCGTGGATGCCGCCGGCCAAAATCGTCCGGCCGGCTGGGTATCGATGGGACTTCTTTGATATCCAGCAGATCCCCTGGAAGGAAGCTTTGCAGGTGAAACGGTCCTATGCACGGAGCTTGCGAGACCAGTCATATACGTCCTATCATAACCTGGAGTATTCGCGCCAACGGCCGGGCGCGCGACTGGCACGGGACGAAACCTATTTTCGCGAAAAGGCCATGTACACGGAACACAAAGCCAGCATGGAACATTTCCAGCTGCGGAACCTGATGTCCGCGGCGGCGTATAACACGGTGCACTTTGCGCACGAATGCAAGGTCTACTCCTGGGTTCCCGCGTACGATGATCTGCGGTGCATGATCGATCTATCGAAACCGACCGTGGAGTCTGGCCTAAAGGGATCGATGAAGATCACAACGATGCGATCGGCGCATGACATTACTATTGCGGGCGGTTTCGCCGGGGAATACGCTTTACGAGCCATGGGCACGGATGGGCCAGGGATCGCGGGGTATGTTACCCAAACTCCGAACATCACGACTCACGTCGACATCGTTCCGAGTCGCAGCAGCGGGTCGCCGCTGGGGGTGTTTGCGTCTAACGACCGGCATCTCCGGGTTCTGGACTGCGAGACCAACACGTTTGTCGCGGACTACGAGCTCTCACGCGCCATCAACTGCACGGCGACGGCGCCGGACGGGCGTCTACGGGCGGTGATCGGCGACTCGCCGGATGCGTGGGTGGTGGAGGCGGACAGTGGGCGCCCAGTGCATCCACTGCGGGGCCACCGCGACTTTGGGTTTGCGTGCGCGTGGTCGCCGGACATGCGCCATATCGCGACGAGCAACCAGGACAAGACGGCGATCATCTGGGACGTGCGGATGTGGCGCATGCTGCAGAAGATCGAGTCCGACGTGGCGGGATACCGGTCGGTGCGATTCTCGCCGGTTGGAGGCGGGTCGCGGACGTTGCTGCTGTGTGAGCCAGCGGACCGGATCACGATTGTCAACGCGCAGACGTACCAGAGCCGGCAGGTGCACGACTTCTTCGGGGAGATTGGCGGGGCGGACTATTCGCCGGACGGCAGTATGATCTGGGTGGCCAACACGGACGAGCATTTTGGGGGGTTCATGCAGTACGAACGCCGCCAATGGGGGCAACGGTATGGGCCGCAGGGGCTGCCGAATGAATGGGTGCGGGACGGGGAGCTGGACGAGGACGAGCGCTGTGTTCTGAGCGAGCGCGAGCGGCGGCAGCGGGTGCTGTGGAATCTGACGGACGAAGAGCATGAGGCGTTGATTATGTGAGTGTGGATATAGTCGTGGTTATGATTTACGTGCTTGCATTGTTTAGCGGAGATACCATTGAATGTGTATACAGATTCGAGTACTGGAGTACTCAACATCACCATATTTGTATTTGTATGGTAGATTGCATAGATTGCATGAATTGCATGAATTGCATCATGGTGCAAGAGACGAGCACCAGACGAGCACAAGTAGGCATGGCATGCGTACGTAGGGAGGGAGTCCATTGGGCCGAATGAATACGAGTGAGTGATAGCTGGCTGGCCGAGTGGCGTGGCTGAGGCAGGAAGTGAAGTGGATCCGAGACTACTAGCGATCGACCCCGCCGATCTACACCGCTTCAGCCACAAGTGGTGGTGGGTTGACTGTGACTGCCCCTCATTACGTACGTAAATAAACCAGCACCCTTCGTCATTCTCCTTTCCCCCTCCTCCTCTTCTTCCTCCTCTTTTTTTTTTACCATCTTTTACTCATCTTCTATCTGCTGACATTTACTTTTACATCTACATTTACCTTCATATCCAGACACAGTTACAGTTACAGTCACTTACAGTTTGAAGACTGATTTGACCCCCATCAACATGTCCTTCTCCAACTTCATCTCCTCGGCCATCGAGCAGGCCGCCAGCAACTACGCTGGTGGTAGCAACAACAATAACAGCAACAACAGCAACAGCGGGAACGCCCACCACGGTCAGGGTCAGGGTGGTTCCTATGGTGGTGAGCAGCAGGGTGGGTATGGGGGCGAGCAGAGCTATGGCTCCCAGGGCGGTTCCTACGGTGGTGGTCCCCAGGGCGGTTCCTATGGTGGTAGCCAGGGTGGTTACGGCGGTGAGCAGGGCGGTTCCTATGGTGGTGGTCCCCAGGGCGGTTCCTATGGTGGTGGTCCCCAGGGTGGTTATGGTGGTCCCCAGGGCGGCTACGGCGGCGAGCAGGGCGGCTACCAGCAGCAGCAGCACCACCACCAGCAGCACCACCAGCAGCAGCAGGGCGGGTACAGCGAGGGTGGCTCCTACGGCGGAGGTCCCCAGGGCGGTTCCTACGGTGGCGAACCAAGCTACGGCTCCCAGGGCAGCTACGGCGGCGGCAGCAACAACAACGAAGGCAACTACGGCCACAACCCACCCCACCAGAACCCGTCCTACGGCGGCGGCAGACCCAGCTACGACGACGTCGCCTCCGCAACCAGCCACGCCGAATCGCACAGCGCGGGCACCGGCTCCTCGGACCTCTTCCAGAAGGCGCTGGGCTACATCACCAACCGCCATTCCTCGTCGGAGGATGACGACGACGACATCGACGAGTCCCAGATGGTGCAGTCGCACCAGGCTGTTTACAACTCGCACGAGGGTGCTGGCCAGCAGCAGCAGCATGATTCCAAGACCCTGGGCGCTGGCGCCGCTATGCAGGCGCTGAAGATGTTCACCTCTGGCTCCGGCGGGTCGGGGAGCAGCAGTGGCTCCGGCGGCAAGAATGAGTTCATTGGGCTTGCGATGGCGCAGGCGAGTAAGCTTTGGGAGGAGAAGAGCTCGAGTGGGCTGGCGGTATGTGTATACCCTTTTGGTTTTTCGGGGGCTGGGGTTGTGCTCGACGCATGCTAATCTTTGGTGTTTTGGGGATAGTCCGGCGACAAGCAATCCGCGATCAACCAGGCCGCTGAGATGGCGCTGAAGATGTACATGAAGAGTCAGGGGAGTGGGTCGAGTGGTACCGGCGGGCCGGCCGGGTTGTTGAGTTTGGCGAGTAAGTTCTTGTAAGGTTGCGTGCCTTTTTTCGGAAGGGTTGAGCATCGCATCGCGGGATGGATGTAGCATCGCTCGGGACGCAGATTCAGATCAGAGGACCGAGCCGGGGAATTTGCTCTTAGGCCGGGGATAGGTTTCATGAGCTTTGTGTATGTTCTTAGGATGAGATCTTGACTTGTAGTTACACTATGTATGCATTGTGTTGAGATTTGTGGACTTTTGGGGCTTGTAGGTTATGGATTTCGTGGTCTTTAAGGTTAAGTCTTATTAGTTTTGATTATGGTGGTTGCTTGGTTGGTTTCTGGAAAGCCAATAAAGATGTTGGGCATTTTTTAGTGTCCGGGTACTTGGTTTGTTAAATGAGATGGCTGTATGTTGAGGAGGTCCGGTTGATTGTGAGGGCACTATGACTTTATCTCTACGAGGTCTACTCTTCAAGGCAGGACCTAACCTCGACTTTCTCTAACTGCTTCGGTCTATTCTTTCTGAAACTTTGTCAGCGAACTGACTAACTACATCACCCGAGAAGCCATGACAATATAGACAGTGTATGTATTCTTATGCAGATCTACCATTTTCCTCCACCGACAAGACAATGCAAACGTCTATTTACTTCTCCCAGCTATCCGGGTATAAAAGAAACCAACACTTTCGTCCCTCCCACGCAGCCCAGCTCAAACCCCCACCGCCACCCTTCTCTTCAACAAGCATCTACCACTCACTCATCTTACCAACCCCCATAATCGAGGCGGTAATCGAGGCACTACCAATCGTCATCGTCATCCTGATGATGCCCCTGCATCGCATTCTGCCTCGCCTTCAACGCCTCCGCCAATCCACCCGCCAGACTTGCATTGGACGCACTGTTCGGCGTCGCCCGGCCGCTACCTCCCGAATCGTGCGCCGAGTTCATGCTCACCGCACTGTCTCTGGGTGCCGGGGGCGGCGCCGGCGCCATCTTGCGTCCGGCCATGTTGGGCCGTTTCATCGGCGGCGCCGGCGGCGCGGGCTTGGCTTTGGCTTTCGCGGCCGCGGCCGCGCCGTTGGTCGCGGGGATGGGGCTGGCTCGTGCGGTGGCCGGAGGAGGCGGCGGGGGCGCGGGTTTGGGGGTCGCGGCCGCGACGACTTGTTCTTCGAGGTAGGCTTCCGGGGTCCAGCCTTGGACGGAGGTGGTCATGTTCATGCAGAGCCACCAGCCTGGGGTCTTGTTAGTATGGTACTGCGATGGCCCGGCACATAGGGTTGCTTACCGTTACCCTCCTTGGACACGATCTGCACGACCTCGCCGGCTCGAATGGACAGCTCGTTCGAACGGTCGCTGTTGAAGTCGTACAAGACCTTGGCCGTGGCCTTCTTCGGAGCTGGGGGCCCCGTGGGCGGAGGAGGTGGGGGTGCTCGCACGGATCCAGATGAAGCAGTGCGGGCATGGGACGCGGCGGCAACGGCGGCCACAGGCTGAGGCACCGGGCGAGCCTGGGCGGCAGGTTGAGGCGCGGGCGGGGGTGGTTGCACGGCAGCTGCAGCTGCTGGCTGCTGAGGCAGTGGCTGGCGCGCCGGGGCAGGTCGCGACGCCAGCTTCGACGGGCCACCGCCCGGTCCGCCAGGCCGCAGCAGCTTGCCTGTCGTGACGGGCCGTGCGGCGACCTGCTTCGGGCGGGGAGTGGGCTTGGAGACTGAAGTGGCAGGCTCGCCGGCACTGGTGTGGATCGTGCTACTCTTGTAGCTGTCCACGTTCGACGATCCCGGATCCTTGACCACCTTCACGGTGGCCAGCTTGCCGGGTTTCTTGTTGTATTCGATGCTACAGAGCGTCAGTAACTGCCATCAACGCCACTCAGAAAAAACTTACTGGTCGGCGATCTTCAGGTTCAGCTGGCCGCGGAGAGCGTTGCTGAGATGGGTGAAGAATTCCGTCTTGAAAACGCAGTTCACCAAAGGATCGGGCTCCTGTCCGCCCACCACCAGAGAGAACCAGTCATCCCGGCAATTGGACGTGCTGACGGACTTGATAGCACCAATTGGTACCGTCGTCTCCGACGAGATCTGGAGCTGATTGTTGACAAACGTCTGCGCTACAATATATACATGCCGGTTTGTCTGCTTTGGTTAGTCCACGTCTAAATACCCCTGCGGTTGCAACGTACCAAAACAAGAATGCGAGGCGAAGGCTTGCTGGACCGTCCGAACTTGGACACCAGAACCTCTCCACGACACGAGAAAAGAATATTCTCCGATCCTGGATTCGTCAGCCGAAGTCATGCCAAGTGCGAAGAGCAGAACACATACCGCTAATGCCTGCACCGTTACGAATCATCTCCCCAGGTCCACCCTTGTTGCCGATTCCCACGTAATCTCCCAAGAACCGACGCGAGCCGAGCAAACTCATCCTCCGGCGCTCTTTACGGTTCTGCAGCACCTGGTGACCCTGGTCGCGCAGCTTGATGAACTCAAGACCACCGGTCATCCGACGCCAGAAGCGCTGAATGCGAATAGCGCACTCGGTCCGGTAGCGCAGGTAATTGCGCCAAGCGCGCTGGATTCGGATCGCCATGTTGTGCCAGTAGCGGTCACGCATGGCCTCCAGCGCGAACAATGTCTCCGGAGTCTTGACGAAGACCTTGGTGATACCCATCTGGTACTCTTCGGTGGGAATGCTGGTATCCTTCAGGATCTGACGAGCACCAGACTCGGCATCGCCTGTCCACGTGTAGTCACCAGCGTATGAGGTCTTGGGCGACAAAAGGTAGAACCGCTCCACAAATTTGTCAAAGGTTTGACGGTAGGCGAAACCCGCACGACGGATCCGAACGTTCTCCTGCAATCCCAGATATTTGATCTGATGCAGAACATTGCCCACGTTATACTCCCTAGGAGCCTTGTTATCGTTCGGCTTGATCGTGCGGATATATGACGGCTGAGCCTTCATCAGAGTCGCCACAAGGTCGTTGGCAGAAGCCTTGATCTTATCGCTTGCAGTCGGTGGGCGTCTCTTGTCGTCCTGGTTGACCTGGTTGGGGAACAATGTGTGGACGAATTGATTGCCACTGGAACCCACAAGGTTCAACAGATCCTTGAGCAGTTGGTCCTTGTTCTTGTCGGTCATTCCTTCCACGGCGTAGCTGACATCACCCGCGTAGTGCTTGACAATGAATTGACCTTGGCGGTTCTCGAAGTTCGGGTTCTGACCCAAGAAGTTGAGTCTTCCAACAAAGGTGTTGTCCGCGGCGCTCGAATCGGCGTGTGCGGTAGCGCAAGCGTCGTTGAGCGCAGCAAAGACACCGGGAGGCCGCTTGTCTTCAATCAGCGAACACACAACCTTGTTGTCGAAGTACTTGATCGGAGTCCATTGAATCTGCTCGCGCGCATATTCATCTTGCTCCGCCTTCAAAGTCAGCTGAATAAAAATCTGCTGCAGCTTTTCGTTAACGTAGTTGATGCACAGCTGTTCGAACGAGTTCTTTTCGAAAATCTCGAACCCGTAAATATCTAAGATACCGATGGAGTTGGTGATCGCACCTCGGGCGGTCAGCGACGAGTTGACACGTCCCACGATCCAGTCAAACAAGTTGAAGTAAATGGCCTTGGCCAATGCGTCGCGGACAGCCACGGCTTGCACCGTGTTCAAGGGAACCTCGTAGACCGACCCTCTGCGACCGCCCCGGGCAGTCTCCATCAGACGGATGGTGAGCGCCTTGTTGACTTGAGCAGCATCGACCTCTAGCAGATATGCGACGAAATCGACAACCGACTGGTCCGTGATGGCGGCATTTCCTGAATCATCCTCGGCGAATGTGACGTTTCCAATCCACAGGATGGCAGCCAACATCCGGAACACGTTGTCTTGTTCGGGTTCGCTCATACCAATCACACCCATTGCGTTCAAAGTATCCCGGAACTCCGCCGCATCATCGACCCCTGGCACATCGAAACACTTCGAGCGACTCGTGTATACGTAGGACTGGGGTTGTTGTACACCGAAATTGTCTACCTAATGTGTCAGCTGCGTGCCAATCGATGCCTCAACCAATGCCACATACCTCTGTATTTCTGCGGCGCAGCTTTGGTGAATTGGTAGAAAATGTGGAAATTTCGCTCATTCGTGATCTGACCCACGACTCTCGATTTCTCCAGCAAGTAATTGGTGATATTGGCACCCACGGGCTCTCCCTGGGCGTTGAATTCCAACTCCAAGTACTTTCCGAAACGCGACGAGTTGTTGTTGCGCAGAGTCTTTGCGTTACCGAAGGATTCCAGCAACGGGTTGGTGGCCAAAACCATGTCTTTCGTCTGCTGGATCGATGAGTCGGTACCCCCCGATACGTTGGCGATGTACTGCATCAGGCGCTTGGCCGCCTCCGTCTTTCCGGCACCCGACTCTCCCGAAATAATCACACACTGGTTATCCTTGTATGACTTCATGTTGTAGTAGGCGGATTCGGCGACGGCGAACACATGGGGCGGGACTTCGAGTCGGTTCTTGCCCCGGTAGGAGTCGAGCACTTGATCGGTATAGATCCCCACTATGCGGAAAGGGTCAGGCACGCGACCAGCGGGAGAGGGGAGCGGTAGGTTTCAGGGGCAACGGTACTTACAGTCGCGAAAAGGGTTGACGGACACCAACACATGTCCGATATAAGTCTATTGGGCATTGAGAAGCATGATTAGTGAGACGCACTCGCAGCGCTTGACTGTGCGACTGGGCGGGGGGTGGAGGGGGGGGGACTGGTGGCCGGCTTACGTAGATTTCATCGTGTTCGAAGCGGAGCTTCAGGTTATCGTTGATCGCCTCATTGGAGATCTTACTGAGCAGCGTGAGATCGGAAACACCGATTTCCTTCTTCTTTGTGCTCTCGAAGGTGGCCTTCTTGACCTGCGGCTTGCCCGCTTGTCGTCCGTCGCCCACATCCGCCGCCTTGGAGCGACCGAACCTCTTCTTCTCCCCGCCGGCCGGGCGTCGCGAGTGTCCCTAATGGAGGATCGGGGTCAGCGTAGTTCGAGTGGATTGGCAATGTGCTGATGTCGTCTGTGGTAGGTGGCTGGGGACTTCTAACTCACCATAGTTGTTGTGAGTTCCGATCAGCCCGGAACTTGCGCCCAAGCGTCAAGATATCTGTCCTATCAGTGCGGGTGGTATAGAGTATATCGTGTTTGGGAGTGAATCAGGAATGAACACAAGGAGGAAGGTGGTTCATTCCAGAAATTCAAGGAGAGATAATTGTGAAGAGTGATTCTAGAAAAATAGAAGAGAAGGGGAGGGGAAAGAGAAAGAGAGTCTATAGGAGGAGGAGGGAGGGAGGAAGAATGACGAATGGTGCCTGTGTGGTGGAGGAGGAGGAGGAGGAGATGACTGACTGCGGACCGTCGGTCGAGGACAGTACGCGGACGGTTCCTCGCTGCCGATGGGGCCTGCGCCACACTAGGATTAGTTGGATTAGTTAACTTT